GTGTCCATGAGTTATGCATATATGCATGTAAGTTCTTTGGTTAATCTCTTCAAGATTGTTTTGGCAATCCTGGGATCCTTGCCTTTCATTATGGACTATGGCAGTGTTTTCAACCTTTTTCATGTCATGGCACACATAAACTAATTACTAAAATTTTGCTTTGTGCACACCAAAAAATATATTTTTTGTCGATCTGACAAAAAAATAGGTATACTTTTGATTTACAAAAAAATAACAATAATAGTAATTGCCTGCCCTTTTTGCTCCAAAGTGACTTTTTAAAAAATCAGGTACCTATACTTGTATATAAAGAGTTTGGGTACCAAAAATTAACCAATCAGACGCAACCTTATTATGCAACATGACCAGTAAAATGCAACTCTATTATATGACCTGTAATTTATGGTTCAAGACAGGGCATTCACACCAGATGGCTATTATTGTGTTGGCTGTTGTCATTTTTTCATTTGACAATCTAAGGGAAAAGAGGTCATTGGCCCTGACTAAATAGTCCAGTGTTGCATGTTTTAAAAATTCTTGTGGCACACTGGTTTAAGATTGTTGGATTATGGGATTTGTCTATTTCTGCAGAAGAGGAAGTTGGAACTTTTATTGAGATTTTGTTGAATTTGTAGATCAATTTGAAGAGTATTGCTATTAAAAATATTAAGTTCTGATTCATGAACATGGGATGCCTTTCTATTTATTTAGGTCTTTCATTTTTTTTTTCAATGATGTTTTGTAGCTTTCAGTGTATAAGCCTCATACTAGTTAAATTTTTTTTTAGATATTTTACCCTTCTTGATGCTATTGTAAACGGAATTGTTTTCTTATGTTTATTTTAGGACTTTTCATTGCCTTTTAATTTTTTTGTTGAATACTGGACATTTTGTATATTATAGTGAGGCACTTCTGGAAGTCTGCTATGGTTTGTTGCTATTGCTGTTTACTGTTGTTTTTGTTATTTGTTCAGTGACTGCTCTGAACTAATTTTGACAAGTCTGTATTCTTTTTCATGTGTGGCCACAGAAGTCTCTATTATATTAGCCTAGTCATCTATAAAATAGTGGACAGAGATTTACTTAAATGCCTGGAACCAAAATGCCTCCCAGTCTTTGCAGAGGGGCTCTGTGTGTGTGGCAGATGGAGGGAGGAGGAACAGCACATGTTGAACACCCAGCCAGGTAGTTTGCATCTCTGCCTTAGCCTTCACTTCGTATTTGCACAGAGCTTCAAAGTCAAGCAGAGGTGACAACTTAGGGCCTTCTCCGGTCTGTCCTGAGCATGTGCATATCCCTGGACAGGTACATAGCCTTTTAGATTTCCAGGAATATGTCAGAACTTCTCAAAACCCTATTTCCCAAAACATCTCATCCCCTGGCCCTTCCTTTCTAGGTTTTTTATTACTCTGTAGTTTGTCCCAGATGGTTTTTATTACTTTGAGCAGGAATGACTAAAACTTTTCCTACAAATTCCACAAGTTGAGTGAGCAGTTTTAACAGTAGGCAAGTTATGAGTTAGTCAGGATAAAGACAAGCCTTTTCAGCAGGTTATCAGACAGTTTAAACAAAAAATTACAGTTCTTCCAGCGTGAGGTCTGTTCTGTTCCCTCCAAAATTTGTACTGGAATGTGACCTGTCATTTTCAAAGCTTGGGAAAAGGAGATGGGACTAGGGTAAGTTATAACACCACAAATGTCACTGTTCTTGGTGAGATTCAGCCATGTTTCTTGAATAAGCATTCACAGGGTTGCTGCAATTCCCACAGGTTTTCCAGTTTTTCATTGTTTTTATGTAAGGGTGGAGTTTTGGAATTTTTTAGCCACTTTAGCTGATGTCATTCCCTAAAGAAACCTCAAAAGATGTGAATTACAAATCTTTTAAGTTCTTTGCTTCTCTCAGAATCATCCTGTAGCACCATGACCCATCTTGTTGTGTTCATCTATTGACCTACATAGCTCCTTGAACATCGAAGAGATTGCCTTATAGATTCTAATCTATAAATGACAGTATCTTTCATCCAATATCTTGGTAGCCCAATAGATATAAAGGTAAGAATTATGTCCAACAGAACTAATGGAGGTAAATCTCAGTGCCTGTTCTGCATGCAATTTTGTGAGCCCACTCTTTCAGTTATTACTGCTGCCTCTGCATATTTGCAGTTTATTCTCTCTGGGCCTATTCTGAGTGGTTTCTAGTATTATTTCAGTAGCTCTCCAAAATGAATCAGGATTTTACCTTAGTTAATTTGCCTAACACCCATGCTATAAATTAGGCCATTGCTACAGTTTCCTAACTTTAGTACTTGTGACAAGAATCACCTAGGGTACTTGTTTTAAATGGAGATTCCCAGGGCCTTTTCTCAGTTTCTGATTTACAGGTTTGAGGTGGAGCCAAGGCATGTGCTTTTTAAATAAACACCTCTAGCTCTTTTGATCCACATTAACGGTGACTCTACCTGAAACCATTATCACGTTCAATGGGACTGATACATAAAGCATAAGGCCAGTTTCTCACTTGAAATAAGTAGGGGACCAGGTATATACAACCTCTCCATGTTGCCTTCTCCTCCTCTCATCTAGGGTTCCCATAGAAGAATAATGAACTAAACTAGACACCGCTGACTGAGTCTACAGAGATTTCCTAGCATGTTGTGACAATCTTTAGAACTGTTCCCATTACCTTTACATCTTGGCAAGAATTATATCAGAAAAATAAGCAAGATATTCTAGTACTGACTTTTCCAGGGAGACCAAAATTCTCCCTTCCATTTCGGTACTACCAGGACAAATTATAGTGGAAATAAACTAATCACAGATCCCCATCATACCTGTTAACCACTAAAATAGAATTTCTCACAGCTGTTCACTATCATCTCTCCTCAGATGTCATGTAAACATCTTAAGTATGTCTAACACTGAGTTGATTCTCTCCCCAGTTCCCTGTCATCTTCCCTGGAAGTCTACTTCTCCTAGAGTGTACTATATCAGCGTTGATACAGTGTTTGTTTCTTAAAGCCATGAATTACCCTGCGTTCCTCCCTCTTACTCATCCCTCTTTGTGTGTGTATCTTAATTCTGTCTTCTCTCTAAAACCACTGCCTCTTAGTTAAGCCCTCCAAAAACTCATGTCTAGATTACTGCAAAACCACGTGCTTTTCTTCAAGTGTTCCTTTGTCTCATTCTTTCCCTTCTCTGGGACTTTTAGCTACATGTATATTAGACCCTCTGCCTGTGTTGCTCATGTCTTACACTTGTTTTGATCTTGTATTATTTTTTCTCTGTGTACTTTAGTATATGTTCTATAACTTTTAAAAGGCATTTTAGTTTTCATATGTCCAAGCCTTTAAATTTGAGAGGAAAGGTGGAGGACCTCATTGCCTCCTATACTCTTGATAATTAAGATAAATATTTATGTCTCTTAAATAGTTTATGGAGAGTAATTGTTATATAATTTTATTTTTTAATATAAAAAACATACAAGTAAAAGGAGTCAGCATTTGGGTAGAAGGCTTCATGTAAAAGGCTATGGTAATATAAAATTGTTGCATATGATTCAGTCCTTAATTTAAAAATATTCAACTGACTTCCTGTATTTAATCTAATATAGAAAATTCTGTGTATATTTCACTTGTCCTTTGATAGCGTGAAATCTGCCTTTGAAAATGATTTGATTATTATCTTAATTTAGCTTTAACAGATTTCTGTATTCTTTTCTAGTGGATTAATGATTTAGAAAATGATTATTTGTATGTTGCATGGCCTGCAAGTTGCCAGGAACTTCTGAAATCACTATTCCCTGGAAAAATACCTTCCATAAGGCGTAATTTTCATAATTTGGTGAGTTTCATATTTTGATATTTTGTATGCATTTTGTAAGTATGTTTTATTGATTTTTTTAGAGAGAGGAAGGAAAAGGGGAAGAGAGAAGCATTGATTGGCTGTCTCCTTCAAGCCCTCCACTGGGGGTTGAGCCTACAAACCAGGCATGTGCCCTGACCAGGACTTGAACCGGGGACCTCTTGGTGCTTAGGTTGATGCTCAACCACTGAGCCACGCCGACTGGGCTGTATATATTTTTTATGAAGATATCAGCATTCTTTTTGGATTTACCCTGCTCTTGGTAAATAGGCATCTGAGTAATAAGGAAGGAAATACTTGCCTGATACAGTAAGTTTGAGTGGCATGGCTGAACAGGTATCAAAACCTAGCAATGTCACATAGTCTGCCTCTTGTTGCTTGACCCTGATGCACTTTAATAATACCAATATTAAGTTAATGGGCAACTTTTACATTTCCTGAAAGGAATTTATGATAGAACTTTTCTCCTATATTATAAAGAACTAATGATTAAAGTTTCATACATTTCAGGGGAAAATACATGAATACCATTTTATCATCTTAGCATATAATTCATTATTACAACATAAACAACCTTATAGAACTTTAAATTGTGGAGAAACACCTAGGGCTTTTTCACAGGAAGTGATTATTGCCTACATCAACCTGGAGTGATCAGTTATATTAATGCTTTTTTTGTTAAAATTCAATTACTATTTCCTTTTTTAAAAAATTTATCACAGAAAATTTAATGAACATATTTAGAATAAGATATTTCACTTCTTGTAAAAAATATTTACTTTATGCTGTGCTTCAAAAGGAGAATGAATGTTACCAAACTCCATGTATTATTGTATTTGGATGTGCAGTCTTTAGAAATCCTTCATAAACTGAAATTCTTATATCCATTTTTCAGAGTTTCTTAGAATTGCTAGAAATTTTTTTTTAAAAGCCTTGAAATTGTATGCTTTTTAGCTACAGAAATCAAACTAAACTTAAATTTCATGAAAATTTTAAAGTGTTAAAACAAAATAATGATGATAGACTATCTTTTTTCTTTTAGGTTCTGTTTATTGATCCTGCTCAAGAATATACCTTGAATTTTATAAAACTTGCTGAAGTGTTATATTATCGTAAAATTCCTGTTAGGTAATTGTCAATTTATAACAAACTGTCAGTAGAAGGAAATCCAGTGAGTTTCATTTTGTATTACACAGAGTATTAATGTGGGATTCAAAGCAATGGTTTATCTCTAGTGCCTGACACACTATAGCTGTGTTGTGAAGTATTATATACCTTTATGATAGACTCTTAATCAAAGCTGCTTGGCAATCTTGTTTATCTTCTGAGAGAATGATCTTATCACCTTGGGAACTTAAAGATGGATCCATTTCCCTGTGATTGTGTTAAGAATACACTTTTCTCCTTTTTCCCCCCTGGAAAAACATGGTTATTTGATAATGTCACCACCAGAGAATATACATTTTGGAGAGATCCATCAGAATGAAGATTCTGGTGAATAGGCATTACAAATCAAACCTTTTCAAATAATACTCCTTTCTTCCCCCACTTACTAACACATTCTTTCCATTTAGATGCTATAGTCTAATGATGTTTTAAAATCATAGTTTATTGTGATTTAAGGGGTAATTGTGACATCACTTATTCATCTTCTTTTTCCAGAATTGGTTTTGTGTTCATTGTTAATACAGATGATGAAGTCGATGGAACAAATGATGCTGGAGTTGCTCTTTGGCGGGCTTTCAACTATGTTGCAGAAGAATATGATGTATCACAAGCATTTGTTTTCATAACACAGGTGAGTTTATGCACTAGCATAATTTATTTAGAATGTATAGTATATTTCTTGCATTAAGGTGAGTTTATGCACTAGCATTTATTTAGAAAGTATAGTGTATTTCTTGCATTACTATAATTATTATTGTTATATTAATATTTCAAAGTTTATAAAAAATATTGTTGGGCCCAGTCTGTGTGGCTCAGTGCTTGATCGTTGACCCATGCACCAAGAGATCACTGGTTTGATTCCCAGTCAGGGCACATGCCTGGCTTACAGGCTTGTTCTCCAGTACAGGGCTTGCAGGAGGCAGCCAATTGATGTTTCTCTCATCAGTGTTTCCATTTCCCTCTTCCTCTTTCTCTAAAGAAAAATCAATAAGAACATATTTTTAAAAAACACAGAACTATTGAGGGGATTAATACAGATGATGGATTTGATTCTTTAAACTCCCAACTGAATTACATAATATTGTCCCCAATTTAAAAATTATGCAACTGAGGCTCTACCAAAATATATGAATTCACTTAGGCTTAACCAGCCAATAAAGGAAATTAAGTTGTATATATTAAGTTTAGAGAAAATGATTAGTCATGGAAGAATTCTTGAATAGGGAGTAAAATCAGAAATAGAAAAAATTATTGCAAAGTAAAATATTCTAAATGACAATGTACATAGATACTTTCTAGAGAATTTCAAAGTAGAAGATCATTTTGTAATAGTAAATTGGTGTGGAAATGGTAAGATTGGTACTGAGTTTGACAGAGAGATTGTATAAGAAAAGTCAGAAATAGGTAAGAACCTGATTAAGGAAGAATAAGAGACAGGAAGATTATTTCATAATTGAGGTTTTGAAACTATTATAGCCCACCATAAAAAAATATAAATGTATTTAAAAATTATTATTAAGAAAGTCAGCTGATTGCTTAAGAATAACTTCTATTCATTTTTTAATTTATTGGTCTTTAGCTTGTCAGTCATTATTGTAAACAAGGAATGGTTCTTCTTCAGACTGGGTGAAATTTTATTTGGTCACATAATGGAATATGATATGCAACAGCACATCTGTATTAGAAGCATAATGACATTATAGAAGGCTGACATATCAACATATACTTTAACGTTCAAAAGCAAACAAAACTAAATATAGTGCATGGGAATATATTTAGATAAAACCCTAGAACTTAAAAGGTACGGGAATGGTAAACACAAACTAGATGATGCATCTGGGGAGCAGAGGGAGACTGGATTGGGAGGGGAGATGCACTTTACCAGCATGGATGATGTTCCATGTCCTGTGTTACATGGTCTGTTCGTGGAATTGTCCATTTCATTATTTATGCCTCATACATGTTATATACATTTATTTTTGCTTACCAAGTTACATACAGTTCTTAAAATATATAAGAAGATTGCATCATTATGTATCTAACTTATGCAAGGCATTCTCGCTACCTTAGATATTTTAGGAATATCTAATATTTTAAAATAAGTAATTAGTAAAATGAATAATCTCAAAGACTTTTCATGTACAATTTTTGTTTTATTAAAAAAATCTCATTTTTAATCCTTATTTCTATTTTACTCTGAAGCCTAAACTCACGTTTTTTTTAGTTATTAGAATTATAGTATATTCTGCTTTGCTATGAGGAGAAAATACCCATAAATTGAGAAGCTCATAAAACCAAATTGTGATCTAATTTACAGACCTGTGCTTCCTAAAGGAATAGGTTACAAAGTTTACAGTGATAAAAGGAAAACAAAGAAAGAATGCTAATTCTTCTTATGACAAATAACATGGGGATTGTGTCAGCCATAACACGAGATTGTCTCTGGCAGTATTGATTTAAGTGAATTGGGGCTAAGAAGAATGTTCTTAATTTACCTACCTAATGGTGTTTATACTTACTAGTTCCTTCTGCTTGGAAGTTTCTTTCCCCAGAATGTCTTTTTGAAAATTTTTAATTGAATTTATTGGGGTGACATTGGTTAATAAAATTATATAGATTTCTAGTGTAATTCTGTAATACCTCATCTGTATATCGTATTGTGTGTTCCCCAGAATGTCTAACTGTTAGCTCACCATTCATATTTATGTTGTGGCTAAGTTATCTGCTCAGAGATGTCCTCTCTGTCATTGAAAAGCTGTCCTTTTCCCCAGGCCTACAATGGAGCCTGGGTCATAGTAAAGGACCTATAATGAAGGGAGAAATCAAACAAAAAAAATAATAAAGGAGTAACAATTTACATCATACAAGTGTGTTTAGAACATTTGAGATTGCAGGGAGAATGGAGGTGCAGAGAAAATCTAGTCTTAGTAGTTACTGAAAAGCAATCAGAAATGAAAATAAAGCTTTTCCAAAATAGTCATTTAACATATTTTATACATATTTTAAAAATAAGGTAACCATTTTTTATTAATAATCAGTTGTTAAAATAGAGTATAACAAATTTGTTATGGTATTTTTGAAAGCTATTAAATTTCACAAAACTTTTTATTACAGGATGATACATTCTATGGTCAGAATGATTAATTTGTATGTGTGGGTATGGGTGTGTATTCATATGTATATAGTATGTTTAGGACTGAGAGAATGTAAAATACGCTTAATTTATAAATTTCTCTTCATGCTAAGGGAAATAAAATAACTGCTATGAGGTGAAAATTAATTATAATATCTTTATTTCCACAGATGTACCAAAAAGTGAAGAGTCAAAATATAATCACAGTGGACAATGTGAAGAGTGTTCTCCAAGATAAATTTCCTCAAGCTGATATTTTGGATATTTTGGGGATTAATTCTAGATATGATGATAAAAGAAAGGTATTTTGGAATGCAGATTTTCAAAAATATGATTCAAGACCCTTTTATTATCTATAATCTTATGACTAAATTATCTCAATATGATTGAACCATGATTGGGATTTAATCCCTCAAAAAGAAGGGAAATTTTAGACCTTTGAATGGCACATATTGTATAGAGTATTTACATTTCAACAACTGATATTTTGAAAAGTACAAAAAAAAAAAAGATAATTCTCAGGATTTACAGGATAGACAACTTGAGCATAGAATTTCAAAGGATGTAATTTATGCTTTCTTAAGAAGAAATAGAAAGCTGGCTTTTTAGATAAGTGCTAGGGTAAGAATCAGACTTAGGAAAATGCAGCAGCATTGAGGGTTTATTTCTAATGCTCATGTAGATCTCAAGATTTCTAAATGGATTTTTGCATTTTATAAAAGTTAAAAAAAACACACTGATCCTGACACTCTCATATATAATATTCCTCGATAGTAATGGTAAAGTTCAGAATCACTAGCATTGTAAAGGTCCGGCCTAATTTGGCCCCTACTTATAATTCTTTATTCTCATTTCCTACTCTTTTTCTTGCTTTTTCTGTTACAGCCACACTGGCATTATTTCAAGTTCTTGAATGGGTAACCTTCTTATCAGAGGGACTTCACGTACTTGTTCTTCTCCATGTTTGTAGATACTCCCTCCCTCCTCTTCTAGCTTACATTAGTTCTTGGCTTTAATATGGAAAAAGTAAAACTTGTGGGAAAAACTTGGGGGAAATGTTTTTAAACCCTTGAAATGAGATTAAGTTGTTCCATTACGTACTAAAATAGTACCTTACACCCCTGCATAGTGCTGATTTTAATTAATTGTTCAGTACCTGACTTCTCACTAGACTGTGAGCTCCATGAGACGAGGAATCATTTATCTTATTGGATGTTGTAGGCCCAATGTCTAGTGAGTGGAACATAGTGTGTAATTAGTAAGTGTCTATTGAATGAATTAATGAGGAGGCAGGCCATCTGAGAGTGAGGGTGTGTGTGGTAGGAATGGAACTTCAAGAGAGCTATGATGTTTTAGAAATTGCTGCTCTGGAGACTAGGAAAGGGTGTAGAGTAAAACCATATAAAAGAATTACTATGATGCTTAAGCTTACCATAAATTTCAGGGGCATCAATCTCAGTTTTAAAGAAAGTCCAAAATATCCGAGCTAAGGGAAGTAATTGGATAAAATACTCTTAAGGGTAAAGTTGCAAAAATTGAATATGACATTAGCATAAAAGACCCAAAGAGTAGCCCACAAGTAAAATCTATGAGCTGCATAGAAAAAGGTTGTGAAGCCAAAGGACTGGTGGTCTCACTTGATTAAAAAGCCAATGTGGTAGGAATTACAGCTTTGTGGTTTTTTTTAGTTATATTAGAATAGTTTTCCAAATAGTTTTATTTGAAATGAGAAAGTGTTTCATTGATTTCCCCCCCATTGTTATATTTTCATATAATTTAAAAAACACACCTGAAAGGCAGCCAACATAAAAGAACTTGGTTCTTTTAGGACCAAGTTATATTAGAGGCATCTCTTTTAGTAAAGTTACTTATGGCATTAAGGAAAATTGAGAAAAAAATATTTTTTGTAAGCACTCTTTAATTATTCTGAATCATGGAGGGGAAGAAAAAGTTCCTGTAATGATTATGTAAGCTCATGGAATAGAAGCATAGTGAAATTGTATATCTTAGGGATCTGTTTGCACAGGGCAAAAGCAGAAGGTTGCATCATTTGGGTTTTAATATCAGCCCTTTTAATGGGTTAATTATAGGAGTCCTAGAAGTTTTTCATATTTACACTTTATGTTTTCACTTTTCTTTATTTTTTTAATAGAGATGGTTTCGTTACTCCTTGCTGAGTGGTAGAGCACAATTTCTATTCACACTCTCCACAGAGACTGACACTTCTGCAAATATCTCTTAAGCATGACTGATAGATGCATAATTGTGGTACTAAGAATCATTTCTCATTCAAGAGTAAAAATTTTTTTTCTGGTTAATTTGCTGTTTTTTATTAATCTGAAACCACTTGATTTTTCACTAAATTTTGGTATACACTTTGTTTCTTAAGAAACCTCTTCTGGTTCAAATTAATTGTAGCACTTAAAGCCTTTTGTTAACACTTGTATACCTGAGGGTATTAAGTGTATTGAAATAAAATGCATTCCTATGAACAGCTGCATAGGAAATATTTAAGGTGCTTACTTAATTTCATTTAATATATTTATTAACAGTTTCAAAATATTGTTTATAACCTAACTTGAACATAGAAAGAAATGGATTTATTTATTTATGTCTATTCTGGGCAGTATATGCTGTGATATTAATGCACTTAAGCTGAGGTAATATTATATAGCCCAGATATCTGAGTAACACCATGTTATCCTTAAATATTGGTATTTGCAACCCAATATTATTGTGTCCTATGAGCTACCTTTTTTTATGCATACTTATGTGGATATAAATTTCACTTCCAACTGGACTTGAAGTATTTCAGTTCTCCTCAAGTTGTATAGCATGTCTTAAATTTTGGATATTATTTGCTGAGTTTTTGTTATTATAATTGAGGATTGATATCTTTTCTACCTCCTTGGCTTTACTTGGTCTCCCCCCAGTCCAGTGGTATTACTTAAAATATTTAAAAACTGTTGTGGCTTCAAGATCAAATGAAACCAATCAGAAAGAATCAACCAGGGCTGTAGTAGTCTTATAGACCCTCCTGCTAAAGCCAGTTACCCTGTAGTGGCTGAAACATGTTGACATGGAGGGTCTGGGAAAGAGGTCAGAATGGTTCTTGGGAGAAATTGCTGCGCCAAGACAGCAGTTAATTACCAACTGGTACAGAAGCATTTCAGATCATTAAGAATCCATAAGACATACATACCCTTTATTAAGACATACATACCCCAATTAATAAAACAGTGCATACCACCTGTTTAAAAGATCTGCTTTTACCACGTTTTGGTTAAGTGAATATTTAAAATATGTGTGACTTTTTAACTTGTTAGTAAGTCAAATACTATGATTGTCTTTTCATTTCTTAACTTTTTTTGCTTTAACAATTAATCCACATTTTTACCCTCTCTCATAGTTTTCTATTACAGATGTATCCAAATAGTCAGTAGATTGGTCAGATAACTTATTCAGAATTTTTCTTACAAACATAGCAGTTGACAAACCAGCACGTTCCCTTGCACATACCAGGCCCAAGAACGCCCTTTTGCAGCCATTTCTGGCCTTTCTCTAAACAGAATGGCGCCTTTGCTGCTCACCTTCATAGGATCTCTGCTTTACCTTTGGTTTCATGAATACTATCCCAAAACTATTCTAAGCATTTATCAGTCCCATAAGACCCTTTCTCACCTTCCTCTCCATGCCTAGGAAATCATTCTGACTCCTATACAAAGAAAATAAAGGAGTTCAGGTCTTTATTCCATAAACTTACATTCATGTAATTTTCTCTCTATATCCAATCCAAACTTTATCTGTATTTTGAACAAATATTTATTGAGTACTTATAATGTTCTAGGCACAAGAGGTTAAAGAATAGAGTACAAAAAAGATCTCTTGAAAATATAAAATAAAAATTTAATAGTACAGAGACAAAAAAGACAAAGAAGTGAAAAATAAGGATGAAAGTTAAACAATTAGAGACTCAGTTTAGAGGATTCAGAGAGAACAGGGAAAACAAAGGAAAGGAAAGCATCAGAGAAATAGCACAAAGCAATTCCCTAAATTGATGGGCATGTGTCTTAATTGGAAGAGGCCCATAGGTACACAACAGAATGAAAGAGGAGAACTCTGGAAATGGAATACTCTGAAGCAGCGACATGTAAGATGAATCCTGAAGTAGGACGAAGAGTTGGATGGATGAAAACAAGGAAGTGATAGTAGATGAACATTCCAGAGAAAAATGTGAAGGAACTAAGAGAAATTGGTGTTGCTGCTGTATAGATAGCAAGCATATGTTATGTTTGCATTGTGGAGGAAAGTTCCTAAGACAAGGCTGGAGAAGTAGGCAAGGGGCCTGATCTTACACAGGGTCTTGTGAACAATATTTAACTTGGACTCAAAACAGTAGAAGACCTTGGAAGTAGTAAAAAACCTGAAAAGATATTAAACAGTGAAGTGACAGTGGTATGCTTTTTTTTTTTTTTAAATTCTCCATTGTTGAGAATGGGTCATTAGAGAGTAAAATTGTATGTGGTGAGATGGATTAGGAAACATGTAGGTAATAGATAAGATATGGGCTAGAAGCTTTTGGAAGAAGTAAAGGCAGAGAAAAATGGACACAATCGAGTTAGGAACTATAATCCAGGACCTGCTGCTGAATTGGATAGGCAAAGGGGAGATGAGAAATTGTCAAGGACCACTCCCAGGGTTCAGTTGAGCAACTAAGAAGGAGGGTTGTGAAGCCATTGCCAAGATGGAAAGAAGTGGAGGGGAAACCAAGTGGGAAATAAGGTCGAAAGTTCTGTTTTTCACATATTGAATTTGAGGTGCCTGTGAGATTTCCAGAGGAAATATGAAATAAATGATTAGATATATATCTCTGTAGCTGAGAAGAGAGGTATGAGCTAAAAGTATAAAATTCAGTGTCACTGGCTTATTTGTTGTAATTAAAACTTTTGGAATGGGCAGATTGCCTAATTGGAAATGATAGAGTAAATTGGAAGAGAGCCTCTATTTCTAGCAGGGACATCTTTCTGAAGGTCCATACCCAGGTGTGCAACTGCCTAGTGGATTGATTATCCATAAGCATCTTAAATCAAGAGAACCTAAAACCAAGCCCATGATCTTTGTTACCCCAAACCTGTTTTCCTTTTTTTGCCCTATCTTAGAGGGTAGTATCATCATTCTCCTAGGCCACCTATGCCATCCTAAACTACTTTTCCCTCATACTCTCTGAAGCAATAGACCCAGCTCTGCCAGCTAAATATTTCAGAAACTGCCTCATTCTCACTTTGCCCATTACCACTGATTTTGGTTCTTGCTCTTTTTCTTTCTCCCCATACTATTGCAGTAGCCCCTGCCCCACCATCCCCAGTGCATGCTCTCCCACTTTCTTCCTTCACATTGTTGCTACTGTGTTCTTTTTTATATAAGCACATCTGATCATACTGTCATGAATCCTTTTCGTAGATAGAAATGGTCATACCCTCTTGGTACCCCCGTATACCATATTCACACCTGTTTTTAATATATCCATTTCTCCTCTGTGAAAGTATAAGTTTACTTAGGATAGAGTTTGAATATAATTTATATGAATTCATAAGCCTAACATATAGGAAATACCCAATAAATGCAGAGATTGTATAGTTCAGTGGTTGAGAGTTCAGACTCTTGGTTAGACAGATCTAAATACAAATTCTGTTTCCAAAATGTAGTAGCTATCTGGAATTGAAAATGACTTTACTTTTTTAGGTCTCTTTCAACATCTGTAAAATGGATGTGCTTGGAGTATTTAGCTTCATAGAGTAATTGTGAGTGTTTTGGATATAATAATTATGATACATATTACTGAGTAGCAAACAAATGAATTGTGTAGTGATGCTTTCTCACTCAAAAGACAAAATCCAGATGTGACAGACCTTCATGATCTGGCCTCTGCCTGTCTCCTTTGACCCTATATCTGACAGCTCTCCCCACTGTAAACACAGCAGATTACTTGCGATTGCCTAAATATGCCGTATTCTCTCTTCCCCTCCATTCCTTGTTGGGCTGTCTCTTTTCACTTCGAGTGTCTTTCTCCATTTTATCTCCCTAGTAAATTTTGCTCATCCTTTAATTCTTTTGGTGTCACCCCCTAATAGAGTTCTTCTCTGATACCTTCCTCTCCATACACAAGCTTGGTTAGATGCTGCTTTTCTGGGCTCCCATAGACCCTTGTACATGCCCGTGTTTTGTTTGTGTATATATATGAACAACTTGAGAGCAGATTTTCAGCTCTCTATTCACAGGGCCTAACCTAATATTAGTGGCATGAATTCAATAAATGCTTATTAAACAAATGAGTACAGGGATAAATGAATCTCTGATCCTGGTGAATGATGTCTTTTTAAAAGTAAATATCATACTTTATATCAAGGGTCAGCAAACTACAGGCCATAGGCCAAATCTAGCCCTCCCACTGCCTGTTCTCTTAGTCTTGGGTGACATGGCTACACTTGTTTGTTCATGTGCTGTGTATCGCTGCTTCTGCATTATAACATCAGAGTTGAGTAGATGGGACATGGACCTGATAGCTCACCAAGCCTGAAATGGGTATTATCTGGCCCTAAACAGAAAGTTCCCTAACTCTTGCTCTGTGTACATAAAGTCCTTCCCTTTAAATAATGTTTGGAGCCCTGCCAGGCGTGGCTCAGCGGTTAAGCATCGACCTAGGATCCAGGCGATCAGGGTTCGATTCCCCGTCAGGGCACATGCCCGGGTTGTGGGCTGCAGCCGATCAATGACTCTCTCATCATTGATGTTTCTAGCTCTCCCTCTCCTTTCCTCTCTCTGAAATCAATAAAGATATATTTAAGAAAATAGTAATAGTAAAATAAATAAATAAATAATGTTTGGAAAGGATGGATAAAATTAGCTAAATTAACATTTTTTCTCTGGCATATAAAAATGTGGCAGTGTTCCTTCTTTTGCTTATGTATTTCTTTTTTAGACAACGATGTTCTTTTTAACTCTGATATTTTTGAACTGAATAGGCAGGAGCAAGCTTTTATAAGGTGACTGGCCTGGGCCCTTTGCCTCAAGCTCTTTATAATGGTGAATCCCTGAACCATGAGGATTTGAATATTCAAAAACTAGAAAGAGCTCTTCTTCAGAAAATGATGGATGTGACTATATATTTGCAAAGGGAAGTTTTTATGGTAGGTAAGCATTTATGAGAAAATACATGATGAATGATATTTATATATGATTCTTTGTATTAAGAAATCTTTTAATAGCAAAAGTTAATTTTGTAAAAATTTTTATTCTGATATATTTAATAATGATATTTAAAGTAATAATTAATTTTATCTGTTCATAATTACATCTAAAAATGGCTTATTTGGAAAGAAAATTCAGTTTTACATGAAAATTTATTATAAGAATCTTAAATGACATATTATTTATTGATTTATTTTAGATTAAGTAGTCTTAATCTCTGCATACCTTTAAAACACATGCATATAAATTGCTTATATTACCTAAATAATATTTTTCTTATTTTAGGGCACATTGAATGATCGAACAAATGCAATTGATTTCCTTATGGATAAAAATAATGTTGTACCCCGTATAAATCATTTGATTTTGTACAGTGAACAGCAGTACCTCAACTTAATATCTACATCAGGTAAAATAATTCTCCTATATTACTTTTCTACAAATGCTTATTAAATTGTGAATGTTTTATTAATCCATTATTATTTAATATGAAAATTTTCAGTAACTGCAGATGTCGAAGATTTCTCTACTTTCTTTTTCTTGGATTCACAAGATAAGAGTGCTGTAATTGCAGAGAACATGTATTATTTAACCCAAGAAGGTAATAAGCATATTTTATTTTCCTGGATTTATTCCTAAAGTAGCAAAAACTTGTAATTTTAGTAAGGTGTTGGCATGATACATTTTTATATGTTGATATTTTACTGAGACCCCGTTTTCAGTTTGAGAGTTTGTAATTTGTTAGGATATAAGATTTGTGCTAAGAAAATGATGCCTTCTATCCTAGCTAATTATAAATGGAGAGGAGTTCATCTTAATTTTTTAGCCTTTTTTTTTTTTTTAAAGCAAGTTATACCATTTTCACTTTTTCCAAAAGCAATAAAACTCTCTCAGGACTATGTAAACTGATATCTTATGATGCATGAATGAAAGTATAATCCACAGATCAGAGGAGAATAGTTCTGAATTCTCATTAAACAACATGTGGATGTTTTGCTTAGGTTGGGGGTCAAAACAAAGGAGGGAAGACCAAGACAGGAACATATTTAGAAATAAGAATTTAGCCTAGATAAGGAAGTCTGCAGTGGTGCCACATATTTTTTTAGGGTACAGTGATTTATTCAGATAGGTGAAGATAATTAGAGAATGGTTGGTTTTTGTTTTGCTTTGTGTAATTTGACCTGCTTAGCTGTAGGGATAAAAATGAGAGCTAGTACATAAAAGAAGGCTGATTTATATCTCAGTATATAAAGCAGTAACTTCCTAACAATGAGAGTGATCTAAAGAGAGAATAAACTATGTAGTAGGGGGTAAATTTTTATATCAGAGAGAGATTTAAGCAGGGGCTACACAACCAGTTGTTGAGAATGCTGTGGAGTGAATCCAGCTTTAGACCAGATGGCCCAGAATTTTCTAACTTATCCATGATCAGGTAGATTTATGTTCAGAAAGTGATCTGTCTACACAAAATCCAACAAATAACAAAATGTAAAATAAAAGTTCCATTTTATGCCAGGCTAAGGTCTTGAATATATAAAAGTGAAGGGAAAAGGAGACAGAAATAGGGAATAAAAGTTAGGATAAACATTTATCAGGTTCCGGGTTGTATTTCAGAAGTTGCTTCTGGGCATCAGAGTAAGTTAGCCTGTAATTAATGCCCTCTGGTTAAATCTCGTGCAGTTTAAAGGAATACTTTACTGAGAAACATCTAAGTTCCTCTTTGCAGTTATGTAAATGTGTAAAGAAATAAAGACTTGTGAGAAATTTACTTAGCACTTTTGAAATATTTCTCAATTTACTACCTGTTACAGTAAAAGGGGTGACATTAAGAAGGCATCAGGATTCTTTTTCTTTAGTCTTTGAAAAGAATGTGCTGTTTGGTAGAGCAAATTTTTATAATTGTTTTAAGTGGGTCATGTGATCTAAAAGAATTTTTCTATAGGTTTTAATGATGACCAGACAGATATTATCTCACATGTTATATACCAAGGCTGGATGAAATAAATGACTTTAACTGTAACGTCAGAATTAAAAATTGTTTCTTTCTGTGGCATCCAAATTTTCAGATTTTTCAGAAAAAGAATTGTACTGATGTTGATGGCACAAGATGATGTGAGTTAGTCCAGGCATTTTGAATTAAATGAATCATAAGCTAGTAAAATATTGTTGTTTTTAGTATCTACTAATAAGCTTTGTTGTATCCAGTTTTATATATATGGGGATATAAATATCAGGTTTTTTAATTTAATTTTTTACAAATGTAGCTAGAAGGCAGTTTTGCTTGCCAACACTGGAATGATAAGCATAATATAACTTTCTCTACTCATAGAAGTATCCCATAGATGTGTCCTTTAAGGGCTGTTCTTTCTTCTTGGTACCTGAGTTTATATAGAGCTTATATCATGAGTTACATTTGTAGCATTTTTATAAACATGTCACTGTGTTTGTATGATGTTTTTTATATTTGCTTATTTTCAGAAAGATTAATATTTGTGTGTGTTTTTATTTTGTTAACTGGGTATGTCCTCTGCTTTTAGTTTGATTTTTTAAAGAATTAGTTTAAACTATTTGAAACTTTCAGATGAAGATGTCATTTCTTCAGTTACTCTCTGGATTATTGCTGATTTTGACAAACCATCTGGGAGAAATATGCTTTTGAATGCATTAAAGCACATGGTGAGTAAGTCTGCCTAGATAAAAGCACCTAAGAAACATAAACCAAAATATTTTATGATATTGTTTTGTATTAGCTAAGTGCGAATTTATTGCTGTATAACAAATTACTCTATAACTTAGTGGCTTAAAGCAGTAAACCTTTATTTTCTCGCCATTTCTGGGGTTTAAGAATTCAGGAGTGACTTAGCTGAGTGGCTGTGGCTTGGGGTTTCTCATGAGGATGCAGTTAGGATGTTGGCTACTGTCATCTGGAGACTTTACTGGAGCTTATTTTAATCCACATTTCAGTTATGTCTGTTACACATAAAACTTAAAAATAAACAAGTAGCCTGGCCAGGCATGGCTCAGTGGCTGAGCATCAACCTGTGATCCAGGAGGTAACGGTTCGATTCCCGGTCAGGGAACATGCCCAGGTTGCGGGCTCGATCCCCAGCTAGGGGCGTGCAGGAGGCAGCTGATCAGTGACTCCCTCATCATTGATGTTTCTATCTCTCTCTCTCCCTCTCCTTTCCTCTCTCTGAAATCAATAAAGATACATTTCTTAAAAAAATTCTGGAAGCATATTCTTTCAGAGGTTCACAAACTGCCCTTACCAATTAGTTACAATGTCTTCCATTATGCATATGTTGGCATGTTTAATGATGTTCCACATTTCTCTGAGGGTCTGTTCATTCTTTTTACAATTTGTTTTTCAGATTTTATATTCTCTATTGATTTATCTTTAAATTCACTGATTCTTTCTTCTGCCAACTTATATCTATTGAACCCTTCTAGAGAATTACTCATTTCAGTTATTCTACTTTTCAACTCGAGAATTTCCTTTTGGTTCTTTTTTATAATTTCTGTCTCTTCATTATTATTATTATTATCTGTGAAATATTATCATACCTTTCTTTAATTCTTTAGACATGATTTTCTTTAGTTCTTTGAACATATATTTATATGTCTGTTAAGTCCAACATCTAAGGCCGCTCAAAGACAGTTTCTAATGCTTGGGTTTTTTCCCCATTTGTATGAATCACACTCTCCTCTTACATTACATGTCTCGTAATTTTTTATTGAAACAAAACATTTTAGATAATACACTGTAGCATATTTGGATACTGGTAACAATCCCTTGCTCCCCCAATCCCAGCAGGACTACTTGTTTGTTGGATAATTTTTTTTTTTTTTAGTGGTGTGACTGAACTAATTCTATAATGTCTGTTGCCCTCTCATTGTATATCTCTGATATTCTTGCTTAGATGTTTTTCCCTTTGTTTTATCTTTTATGTTGGTTTCCTGGGGAATGTCTCTGGGTCAGCATAAACCACTTACTGATCAAAGGTAATGCTTAAGTCCCCATAGCCAGTTAGATTTTTCATCTTTACTGTTGAATGTGTGACTGACTTACAGACTGCTTTCACAGCTCAGAAATATTATGATTTTGCCTCACATTCACCCATGGAATAGTGTCTTGGAATTTACCTTTATAATTACTCCTGAGAAGATTCAACCTTTGGCATGTACACAGTCACACAGACTGCACAGGATTCATTTAACATTTTTTTAAAATTTAAGTATAGTTGGTATACAGTCTTATATTGGTTATATTTCAGATATATAATATAGTGATTTGATATTTTTATACCTTACAGTGTGATCACCCCACTAATTCTAATCGTCTTTCACTGTGTAATTTTATTTTTAAACCTGTCTTCCAAGGAGTTGCCGTGGGACAGAGTAGATTTTTATTCTGCAGTGTTTATTCAGGGAATGCTTTTAATTCTTCCCTGTGCCCGATTCTGATTGTTTTGAGTGGGGTTCGCATAGCATATGTGCAGTTTTGTAGACCCTCAGTAACAAGTGTGATCCCAGGACATCTCGTCTTGTCTATCTCTTTCTCTAATTATCTCTGTTAAACTTCTGGCTGCTCTGTCTTTTCACATAACATGTGTGTGTGTGTGTGTGTAGAGGGCGGTATGAAAAGAGACCCCAGGTAGGATTGTATTCATAGGCTGTACTTTGCTGACTCTTGATTAAGTATATTATTTGAATTTTCTGTAATATCATTTCTTATTTTTATTTTCAGTATTATTTTTTCCTTTTTTATAGTTTATCTTTATTGTCAAAAGTATTACAGATGTCCCCCCCAATTGACCACCTCTCCTCTTATCAACAGGATGACAGATAAAATTATTCCTAAAATTCCAGGTGAAATTCTTTATTCTGTATATTTAATTACTAATTTTCAGAGAAGAGAGGTGGTGTGACAGAAGTCACTTCTGTTGATGGCAAATACACATTTTTTTTGTCTTTTAATTTCAAGTGTCATTTGGCTCATGGATTTTTTTTTCCCAGTGTCTTCTATCAGTTACATGGTTTACTCTTTAAGTCAGTGGTGGAGAACATCCTGGCCCGCGGGCTGTATACGGTCCGCAAAATCATTTGGTCTGGCCCTCCCAAGGCAACCACAGGTGGGACTCAAAATTCAGTAAATCTGGGAGCTTTTTTCATAGCTAATTTTTAAGTTGATAATTTTGTATGGCCCACAAATGATGTTATAAATATCTAAATGGCCCTTGGCAGAAAAAAGGTTCCCCACCCCTGCTTTAAATGCTTATAGTTCCCCATTTTGGCTAGTGAACCTCTCAAGCTGACTTCTGTGTCCTTTTTCAGAGCACTTTCAGAGCACTGTCAAAAAAAAAAGTCCCTTTCTCACCTTATAGTCTCTCTGTCTCAGATCTATATTTTGTCGTTTATCCAAAGACTTCTAACTCCATTTAGTGGGAAATGGTAGTTAGAAAACCAGATCTGGGTAACAAGAGTGCTCATTATTATTAGGATGTCATTGCTTCTAGGCCATTTCAGTAGCCAGAGTGTGATATGTGTTTCTTACAATTTTTTTCCTGTAGAAAAAATATTTTATCTTTTTTTTTTTTTTTTTAATATATCTTTATTGATTTCAGAGAGAGGAAGGGAGAGGGAGAGAGAGAGATAGAAACATCAATGATGAGAGAGTCATTGATCGACTGCAGCCTGCAACCCGGGCATGTGCCCTGACCGGGAATCGAACCTTGATCGCCTGGATCCTAGTTCGACGCTCAACCGCTGAGCCAAGCCCGACTGGGCTAGAAAAAATATTTTTAGCATAATAATTCACCTCAGAGGAGGGGCTCAAAGGAAATAAAGCAGAACGTGACAAAACTTCAATGAAAAGCAGACAAAACCATGAATGATAGTATGAAATTTTAGCACACCTCTCTCAGTAACAAGTAGAACAAGTACAGGAAAAATCCATAGAGATGTGTAGAAGATTCAAAAAGCAAGATAATCAAACTTGACCTAATGTACATGATAGAAAAGTACAAAATGAATAGTATATGTTCTTGGAAAGTGCAGATGTAATATTTAAAAACATTTGTAGATGCTAGGCTATAAAGCAAGTCTCATAAAATTTTGAAGGATCAAAATCATACAAAAGTGTATTCTCTGACCACAGTGTAATTAAGTTAGAAATCAAAAACAAACAAAACTAGAATATCTGTATATTTGAAAATTAAGAAATGTTTCTGTGTAAATTATTGATACAAAACCGCATATTTGAAAGTATTTTTGAAATGAATGAAAATTTGAATGACACTAAAACTTGACAATTACAACTAAATCTGTGCAATTCATAAATATGTAAAAAGAAAGGGTGTAATATCAGTTATCTAAGCACAAATCTTGACATTTAAAAATAGCAACTTAAACGTTTATCAAAGAAAGGAAAGGAAAAGTTAAAGATAAAAACAAGAAGTAATGAAATAGTAAAGGTCCGCAAAACCAAAAGTTAGTTCTTTGAAAAGATTAATAGACTGGATAAAATACCTGGTAAAACTGTTCAAGAAAAATGGAGAAGCAGACCCAAACATTCAGTGCCATGACTGAAAGAGATGTCAGTCAGGATCCTGTGGACATAGTAATGGTAGGAAGAAGATGTTTTTAATTATTGAAGGAATTAAATCTGTAATTTAAAGAAGTACTCAAAATAGAAAACCCCAGACTCATTTGATCACATTAGTACAAACTATACCAAGCACTAGTCTAACACAAAATGTTTTCCAGAGAATGGAAAAATTAGCAGTACATCCCAACTCATTTTACAAGATCATCATTACTTCAAATCCAAATCTCTAAAAAGGCATTATAAAGAATGGAAAACTCTAGGCCCATCTTATTTATGAACATAGATACAAAAATCCTAAACCAGTGAAGAACAGAATAAACAGAAACCAGGAGGGAAAATTTTAAATTGTCATGTTTCTAAATTGTTTATACAGAAAATACATATAAATAGATGCATAAATTATTAGAATTAATTCTTTAGTTTAACCAGGTTGCTGAATAAACAGGTCAATATATAAGAATTAACTTTTAGGAACTGCAACAAAAAAGAAATGCATTTTAAATGAAGATATCACTTATAATAGTATCAAAAATTTCAAGTACTAGGACTAAATGTAACAAAGTAAATTTATGACTTTTGCCAAAATATTGAGAGAAAATTCAGGAGTTATACATGAATGGAGAGATAGACCATAATTATGAATGGAAGGACTCAATGTTGTAAGATGTTAGTTCCCCCAAGATTGATGTGTAGCTTCAGAGCAATTCTAATATGAATCTCAGCAGTTTTTATGGAAATCGTCAAGTCTATTCTCAAATTTATATAGTGATTCAAAGCACCAAGAATAGCTAAATTACTCTTAAAGAAGAGGAAAGTGGGATAATTGGTCTGGTGGATATAAAGATCTTTTATAAAGCTATAAAATTGAAGACAATTTCATAGAATAGAAAAATAGAGCAATGGAAAAAGATTAGAGAATGCAGAAACAGACTCATGCATACATTACACTTGATGATTTTAAAGTCAGAGAAGATTTCTAAAACAACACAAAACCCAGTATCCATGAGTTAAAATACCAATAAACTGAACTACATTAAAAATTAAGGACTATTTTTGTCAGAAGATACCATCAAGAGAATGAAAAAGCAGACCACAAAAAAGCAGAAGTTATCTCTATACATACAACAAACAAAACACTCAAATCTTAGAACTCAAACCCCTATAAGTCAGTAAGAAAAAGATAATTATTTCCAATAAAATAATGGCAGAGATTGAATAGACAAATCAGTAAAGAGGCCAGTGAACATATTAAAGGATGCTTAATATCATTAGTGATGAGAAAAAGTGAATTAAATCCTGATGAGATATCCTTACATATCTACCAGAATGATTTAAATTAAAAAGTCAATGGGGTAATGGAACTCTTATATGTTCCTGGTGGGAATGAAAACTAGTCCAACTGTTTTGAAAAACTGTTCAGCGTCTTCTAAAGTTGGAGCATATTCTGTTTGTAGAGCACCAAACAAAAATTCAAATATCCAGCATCAGTGGGATGGATAAAAGAAAGTATTCATGCCATGGAATTCTGTACAGCACCAAAAAAACAAATGAATAAATAACTGCACCTACACAAAACAATGTTGATGAATTTTGACAATTATGTGGAGTGGAAAAAGAGTACATACTATATGATTGCATTTGTATGATCAAAATGGATAAAATGTTTAGTGATGCAAACATAGGTGATAAACTATAAAGAAAAGTAAGAATGTTATTACCATAAATGACAGGATAGCTGTTGTCTTTAGAAAAGTGGGTGGGTGCTCTCTCATCATTGATGTTTCTATCTCTCTCCCTCTCCTTTCCTCTCTGAAATCAATAAAGATATATTAAAAATAAAAAAAAAAGCCCGGCAAGGCGTGGCTCAGTGGTTAAGCGTCGACCTAGGATCCAGGCGATCAGGGTTCGATTACTGGTCAGGGCACATGCCCGGGTTGCGGGCTCGATCACTGACTCTCTCATCATTGATGTTTCTATCTCTCTCTCTCCCTCTCCCTCTCCCTCTCCTTTCCTCTCTGAAATCAATAAAGATATATTTAAAAACCAAAAACAAATGTTCTTATTAATATCATTCATTCAACAGGTATTGACCAAGCCCTGAACTATCGAGAGATAAGTGACTAGGTGGCACAGGACCAGGCTTTTCTTGGTCTATTCTGCTGCTTTCCGAGTTTCTCAACTCTTCTCCAAATTCCTATNGACAGTACTCTATTTCTTGACCTGGATGATAGTTTTATGGGTTAATTTGCTAACCCCTACATTTTTGTTTTGTATTTTTATTTATTTCACAGACATGCATACACAAGAAAAGGTTAAACAAAGTATTGCATTATCAAATAAAGAGGTGCAGCTGTTGGAGTTACTAAAATGATTGTTTTTAGGCTATTTCAGTGATAGGCCACCTTCAATAGTCAACATAGAATTTGACAGTGAAAGATGTTGTATGGTAAAGTATAAATTTGATTGGAAAGAAAAAAGTTCAACTGTAAAAAGGTATGTAAGATACAGATCTTTTTCATCTATAAATGTTTTGCAGAAAACAACTTTTCGTAGTCGGTTGGGCGTTATTTATAATCCTACATCAAAAATAAATGAAGAGAACACAGCTATTTCTAGAGGAATTTTGGCAGCTTTTCTTACACTGAAAAACAACTTTTTGGGAAACTTTCTCAGGAAACTGGCAAGGGAAGAAACTGCTACAGCTATTTACTCTGGAGATAAAATTAAAACATTCCTTACTGAGGTCAGTAGCTGTTTGTTTGAAATAAGTATGTATTGAATATTTTAAAAATATAAGTCTGTGTGCTTAGACATAGCATGTTACTGAAAAACGTCAGTTAAATATAATCATTTGGGGTAACATATTTTTTTAAATGGGAAAAGATAAATGTTAAATGATATGATTTTGCATAGAGGCATTTAACAAATTAGATTTCATATATTTCATAACAAATTAGATTTTAACTACTACTTCATGATCTTTAAAGTTGATACCATTCTAGTTAAGATATGTACTTAAGGATTGGGAGTTGAAGGGTTATGTAAATAATCCTCAGGTATTTCACTGAAGGAGTCCAGTATGAGGGAAATGAAGGAGTCCAGTATGATAGAAGATGATCTTCTGGAAGAAAGTTTTACTAATTCACTCAAAAAATATTGATTGTCTGCCAGACAATGGAGATACACTTGTGAACAAGGCAGATAGAGTTCCTGTTCGTGTGGAGCTTACATGGTAGTGGAAAAGACAGGCTAAGTAAGTGGTATTGGAAAAATAAAGAAACATAAGGTAGGTAGTTCGAGGGATGCTCTTTTAGCTGGAGTGGTCAGGAAAGGTATTTTTGAAGAGGTTACATTTGGACAGAGCTCTGAAGGAAATAAGATATCAAGCCCTGGAAAGTCTGTGAGGAGAATGTACCAGGTTCAGGAACGTAGCAACTCTAAAGGCTTGATACAAAGACAGGATTGCCAGGCTTGAGATATAGGCAGAAGATCATTTTGACCAAAATATAGAGGATATGGAGAGTACTAGCATATGAGGTCAGAAAAATAACCCCAGGTATTTCAAGTACTTGTAGGCCATAGTAAGGAATTGAAATTTTTTCTGGATATAATGGTAAGTCATTGAGGAATCGTGAAGAGGTGAATAACCTTTAAAAAGATGACTCTGGAAACCTTGTAAAGATTTGATAGTAGGTAGACAAGAGTGGAAATAGAATGAACATTTAGAATGCTATTGCATTTCTTGCCTATAATCCAGGCAAGAAATAATGGTATCTTGGACTAGATAGTAGTGGTGGAGATGGTAAAATGGTTGATAAATAATATTTGTTATGGTCAATAGGATTAGTTGATCAATTGTATGTTACATGTGAAGATAATAGGCTAGGATTTTGGCTTGAACAGCTAGACTTAATGGTGGTGTCTTTTTTTTTTTTTTTTTTTTTTGGGGGGAAGTC